GGAGGTAGAGGAGTAGAGGAGGTAGCATGGGGAACATCAACATTGTCTCGGTTAATGTTTATGAAGCGGTATAGGCCGATCTTCTTGTATTGCCTACAACCTGATCACTTTCATCTCTTAAGCCATAGGAAGAGCAAAATCTCAAGATTTCGAATAGCGACTTCGATCGTAAGGGCGGATGTTCGTAAGGTGGCTTTTTAGCTTTCTTATTCGGAAAAAGTCATTTTATTCCAATACCTAAACATCCCATTGACTGCTTTCCATTCTGTTGCACCTTTAAGACGTAATTCCCTTCGCCCAGGGCTGCTCCCTTTGCTGTGAAGTACTTCATTCGCAATGATTTCGAGAAGTGTCGGGTGTCGTACAGCGCACCAATTCTTCTTCCCCCTAGCGTTAATCCCGCGCCATCGCATGATCCGCTGTTCTTGTCAGCCGTCTCCATTTCTTTCTATCCACGACATCTTCTGCCGTTACCTTAGCTTCCGCGAGGTCCTTCTTGATCAAGTTCCGCCATCTCTTCTTTGGAGCTCCTCGTGGTCGCCTGAGCCTTAAACTCCATTGCCTCCCTGATCGGATGACTCTGTGGTTTTCTTAGTACATGCCCGAACCATCGCAGGCGCTGCTCTCTCATCTTCAGCTGGACTGGGGCTGTTTGCATAGCCGCCCTGACATCTTCATTTCTNGGCTGCGCCATTCGATAAATTGAAAACTTTCCAAACTTTTGACCACTACTGTATATATCCCCCATATGTGCACCGCTAACGTTGTATCTCTACCGCATGTTCTTCTCAACGCAGTGGTTCGCAAAATGTCACGTAAGCACTATGAGTGGTGCGAATGTCATGTAGGCGTTTTGAGGAAAGTGATGGTGAATGGGAACTCTTATGTTACCGTTCATACCGATCTGCTTATACATATGAGCCATTGTGACGTCACTGATTATAAATCTCAATCTTAGGATGTACCTTGTTCGATTCTCTTCAATGACAGGAGGCCTGCGGGAGGTAGAGGAGTAGAGGAGGTAGCATGGGGAACATCAACATTGTCATCGGTTAATGTTTATGAAGCGGTATAGGCCGATCTTCTTGTATTGCCTACAACCGGATCACTTTCGTCTCTTAAGCCATAGGGAGAGCAAAATCTCAAGAATTCGAATAGCGACTTCGATCGTAAGGGCGGATGTTCGCAAGGTGGCTTTTTAGCTTTCTTATTCGGAGAAAGTCATTTTATTCCAATACCTAAACATCCCATTGACTGCTTTTCATTCTGTTGCACCTTTAAGACGTAATTCCCTTCGCCCAGGCCTGCTCCCTTTGCTGTGAAGTACTTCATTCGCAATGATTTCGAGAAGTGTCGGGTGTCGTACAGCGCACCAATTCTTCTTCCCCCTAGCGTTAATCCCGCGCCATCGCATGATCCGCTGTTCTTGTCAGCCGTCTCCATTTCTTTCTATCCACGACATCTTCTGCCGCTACCTTAGCTTCCGCGAGGTCCTTCTTGATCAAGTTCCGCCATCTCTTCT